GTTTAAGGTGTCTTTTGAAGCTATCAAGTGTTTTTATTTGTCTTAGTTTCATGGGTAATCTGTTCCACATAAATGGACGAAGATATGAGAAAGATCTCTCTCCATATGATTTGTATGATTTTACAGGTGTCACAAGTAGTGTGTTATCGTTTGATGATCTTAGGTTTCTCCCTGGCTTATATATATACTGATAACTTAATGAGTAATGAGTCAAATGTGTCAAGAGTAAAAAAGATAATCAAATTTAGTGTGTCACGTGTCAAAGAAAAAAGTCAAGTGTGTCAAAAGTCAAATGAGACAACACAAATCTGCAATGAGTCAAATGTGTAATGAGACGAAGAAGACAAACAAATTATGTGCCATGAGTCAAAGAAGATCATCAGATGTGTCATGTGTCAAATAACATAGTCAAATGTGTCATGTGTAAAGGAAGACGAACAAATTATGTGTCATGAGTCGAAGAAAATCATCAAATGTGTCATGAGTCAAAGAAGACAGTCATATGTATCATGACCGAAGAAGATCATCAAATGTGTCATGTGTCAGAGAATATCGTCAAATGTGTCATGAGTCAAAAAAGATCATCGTATGTGTCATGAATCAAAGCGAGGTCATCAGATGTGTCATATGTCAAAGAAGACGCACAAATGTTTGTCAAAGAATATCCTCAAATGTGTCATGAGTCAAAGAAGACAAGCAAATTATCTGTCATATGTGTCAAAGAAAATAGTCAAATGTGTCTTGAATCAAAGAGGATCATCAGATGTGTCATGTGTCAAAGAAGATCATCAAATGTGTCATGAGTCGAAGCGAGGTCAACAGTTTATGGAGCGCCGGATCCAAGAGTGTGTGTTCTGTTGGCTGGATGTGTGTATGCATAAGACCAAAGTTCCCGGGCCGGTCAGTATTTTATCTATCTATCTATCTATCTATCTATCTATCTATCTATCTATCTATCTATCTATCTATCTATCTATCTATCTATCTGTCTATCTATCTATCT